GTCTGGGCTTCTCTGCTTAGGCTGCTGCCCCCGCGTCTTGGCTCCGGATAAAGCAGGAGAAGATGGATGGATGGATCCTTGTTAAAAGTACCTGACACATGACACCTGAAACACGCCTGACTGCAGCTGCTGATGGATAATCCACGGCCAACCTGCTGCCTGAGCTTTGCTCATCTGTTCCTCTCCTTTCTTTCTTTTGATCCTGATGCTGGAGGAAGACATGACTGACACCAGCAGCAGCCGCAGCACTCTCAGGCTCACCTGGCTGGAAAAAAGGTGAGTCTGAGAGCGTTGCACACAAAACCTAACCAGACCTTTCACTCCAGGCTTTCCACACCTTCTGTTCAATACCCACTTCCTGCTGTCAGGAAGAGGTCACAAGGTCAACACATGCTGACAAATCAAATCAGATCAAACTTACAGTCTGACTGTAACGTTGGACCCAAGAAACATACGCTGGAGCGAATACGATGAAAGCAGAACTTTTATTTAATACTGTGGTTTTTACTGGGACACAGACACTCCCGCTCTCTCTCTGCTGTCACGTCCGCTTCCTCCTCCGGCTGTCACTGCCAACATATAAAGAGACACAATCACTGTCAGATCCCAGTACACCTGTTCACCCCGCCCCTGCGCCGCCCTGGGAGCTCACTGCGTCACCCCTCCTCTGCAGCTGGCCAGAGACCACACCCACGCCACACAGACTTTATGTACTCTAAAACTATTTTAATAAAGACTTTTTATGCACATCAAAATAGCTGCAGGTGTCACAAAGCCTCACGGATACCTTGTATTTTCATGTCACTGTCAAATTTGTAACATGAAATTTGTAACATGAAATTTGACAGCCTGTCTTTGGCGTTCAGCGGCCTGCAGGGTTCATTGGACCTGATGAACCTGAGTTCATTAATCTGCAACTTTAATTTTAAATTGAATAATAATACACTGGTGTAGTAATGAAACATTATAATTATATATTTATTATTAACCTCCTAGGACCTGACGTCCACATATGTGGACACCACATTTTGTGTTGTCTAGACCACAATACTAAATTCTGCTCTACAAGGGCCTGTGTTACGCCCCAAGTCTGGGCGTGTTGAGACGCACAAAAGATTCTGAGGAGAGAGAACCAAGTACCCGCCCTAGTTCCCAAAACAAACCACGAACCCGGTTATGACCAGAGATAGGCGCATTACTGTAATCCGATTACTTTTTTCAAGTAACGAGTAAAGTAAGGCATTACTATTGCAAAAATGGTAATTAGATTACCGTTACCTTCCCGTATGAAACGCTGCGTTACTGCGTTACTAAAACCGTGATTTTTTTGTGAGAATGTCTCATGACAGTGACGTAAGCGAGTGCGACGTTCGTGACAACAGCTGTGTGCAGATCAACAATGGATCATATATCGAGTGCAGAGAGAGTATGAGCGTGCAGCGTTTAAAGCGTGGAAGT